GCTTTAGTCTTCAGAAATATGTCTATGCTTTTATGTAGGGCATCAAAATTTCCTTTTTTCTAACCCCGAAACCAATGAGGAATTTTACCGAACATGAACCTTTTCGTATGTTAGAAGCGGAAAATATTCCTCATTTCATAGATGTTAAAAACATAATTATAAATCGAGAAAAGTACAGCGAAAACTATCAGAACTACAGAAATATGTGGAAAAATCGCTATTTCTGGACTAATGCGTAATTAGTTAACTGCCAGTGAAAGGCCGAACAAGTGTAGCGGGAGAGGAAACTGGTTTATATACATAAGGCGGGGGAGTAAGTCGAATCGTAAACGATGAAGTATAGGCCAATATGAGCCGCAAAGTATAAATAGGAGGAAACCCTGAACTTGAAAAATGGGTGCTGTGGTTTTTGTACTGAAGGGAGGAGGGAGATGGCAGGATTGAAAATGTCATGTACGGGAAATATGTGGAAATTAGTATATTGTTCCAATCTTACCTTGATCGTTTTTATGCCAATTTTCGCATCTTCGGGGAAGAATACGAACATCTGATCGGTGGGATCATCGTTATGTGCGACCAGGATTGTCAAATTATTACGTGTTGGATGACCTTCACTTGGCTTATCACCGAATGTTTCTTTGAAATTTTCCAGTGTTTGATCCAGCTCTTCCTGTGTCACCAGATAACCACGATCATGGCACATCTGAATAGAACGCAAAAATTTACTTGTGTCGCAATTTTTAAAAATTTTCCCTTCTGTTCTGCACAGAGGAAGATTTCAGCTTTCTAGACTCCCTGGTTTCCGGGTTAGCAACTTAGCTGCAAAAACCTTTCACGGATCCGTACGTGGAAACCACGCACACTCGGGGACTGTGTTTGAACTCACTTATACCTACTTGGACGGGGAACATCCCCTTAAAATTCCAGCCTTCTAGCTTCTGAAGTTCCAGAGTTAGAAACTTACTTGGAAAAACTTTCATGGGCCCGTACGTGAGTACTATATGGGCAAGAGCACCCATTTTGGAGATAGGAGCCCGTACATACACGTAGATTAAGCTACCAAAGTTTCAGCCCTGTAGTTTTTGCAGGTCTCGAAAAATCGGTACAGATGCACACCACATACACAGACACAGACACACACACACACAGACACACACACATACACACGGACAACCTCTCGTCAATATGCGTTTTCTGCATTGCATAGAATGCAGAAAACGCATAGCATAGATGCAAAAAACGCATAAAAACGAAGCAACGGATTTTATTTTTACTTCTAACCACCACATCCTGCGCGCCGCTCATCTGATGCAAAATCTGACCGCTTACAGGGAGGTCGCGAAGAGAGATAATTACTGCTTATAGAGGACCACGAACGGAATGGTGGAGGCATTTTTTCTTCAAATTCTAACCTCTAAATTTTAATTTTATTTTCTCTATTTTTCACTTCTCTCTTTAATTCACCAAATTGCATGTTTTTAGACACTTCTGCTGAAACCGTCACACTGACGAGGTCCAGCTGCAACACTGACTGGGAATGTATGCGATTTAATGGATCGGAACATTCCAATTCAGTTTTTACGCGTTAAAACGCATATTGTCACGGCGTTGTCTGTGTGTATGTGTTTGTGTGTGTGTGTGTCCGCAACTTTCAACTCGGGAACCACAAAAGCTAGAAAGCTTAAAATTTGGGGTAACGTTCTCTACCCACGTGTGACCCCGCAAATTTAAATTCAGCCTTCCCGTGCCCGTGGGTAACACGTACGGTCCCGTGAAAGTTTTTTACGGGTAAATTAATATCTCGGGGATCACCGGGTCTAGGAAGCTGAAATTTTAGTGTAATATCTCCCTGCCCACGCTCAACCTTGCCTATTCAAATTCAGCGTTTCC